AAAATACTTCAAAATTATTTGAAGTAATAAGGTGTTAAATACAAAAATACTCTAATAACTGCTTTTGTCACACCTCAGTTAAACTCTGCTGCTACTTCTCAGACTCTTGTGCTCCCGAACTCCAACTCCCAGAGTTCAGAGGAGGATTACATGACTCAGAACTCTCGGGCACGAACCTGTCCTAGGTCAGCTTTGCTTGATTACTTATTCTCCTCACCTGCATCTAGCCCTATACACCACATATTCTGACCACCTCCTTGTTTCTACGCTCATTGTCCATTTAATCAGCTCCACTTACTATATAGGTGCACTTTGTAGTTCTACAGTTACAGACTGTAGTCCATCTGTTTCTCTGATACTTTGTTAGCCCCCTTTTACCCTGTTCTTCAGTGGTCAGGACCCCCATGGACCCTCACAGAGCAGGTACTATTTGGGTGGTGGATCATTCTCAGCACTGCAGTAACACTGACGTGGTGGTGGTGTGTTAGTGTGTGTTGCGCTGGTCTGAGTGGATCAGACACAGCAGTGCTGCTGGAGATTTTAAACACTGTGTCCACTCACTGTCCACTCTATTAGACACTCCTACCTTGTCGGTCCACCTTGTAGATGTAAAGTCAGAGACGATAGCTCGTCTGCTGCTGCACAGTTTGTGTTGGTCATCTTCTAGTCCTTCATCAGTGGTCACAGGACGCTGCCCACAGGACGCTGTTGGCTGGATATTTTTGGTTGGTGGACTATTCTCAGTCCAGCAGTGACACTGAGGTGTTTATAAACTCCAGCAGCACTGCTGTGTCTGATCCACTCAGACCAGCGCAACACACACTAACACACCACCACCACATCAGTGTTTCTGACCTCACTATTACATTAAAACCTAAAACGTAACTGTAATAGAAAGCATTAGCTTGAATTTTGCATCACGTGCTGCTCTTCGTTGAGTTTATTGTACTGTTAAAAAATCTCTAAGGTTAAATTAGTCACTGAGCTGCCTTAAAATGTTTAGTTCATTGGTCTTTATAGAATAAATATAATATAAATGTAATTTTTGTTGTGTTATTTGAAGTTAAAAAAAAAAAAAACAGTACACTGTTAGAAATAAAGGTTCTGTTCAGGTACATTTTTCGTTCATCGAGGTACAAACAGTGTAAATGTTACCTCAAAGGTACAACAGTGGTTTTAAGGTCTGATTGTGAACCTTAAATAAGTTTCTCCAGGTGAAAAGTTCATATTTATACCTTTTCATAACCGAATGTTTTAAAACAGAACAGTAAAATAAAAGCCTGGAGGCGAGACGGGGTGTGTGGAGTCAGTACAGCTTAGAACATATCATTTCAGTGGATTATGGTTCAGTTATGTTCCCTGACTAAAGGTACTGAGATGGACCCTTGTGGGTACCACCCCAGTGACAGTTTAGTATCTTTTAAGTTTACCATATTCTTTTTACAGTGTGGCGAGTTGCTAAGCAACAGTGGAGATGCAATTTAGGCATGAATTTCGACATGAAATCTGATTAGTGAATGACTCGGTTGGACATGGAGTTTCTCCTTATCAGATTACTGAGGTGGTTGTGAATGTGTTGAACACATATTTGGCAAAATCAGATTTTCTGCAGCCATCAGATGTAAAATACTGATATTTATATGATTTATGGGGAATTTTGGTCTCTTCTATTCAGTTCCCACACTCTATTTTACCCTTGCTGGGTTCTACACACTTAGAACCATACACAGCACATTCTCCATCAGTCTGGAGAACGCTTTCATGATGCAAAGAGTTATTTGAGTGTTCTTACTTCTATATAACACCATGTTGCTTACTGAAGAACCCTTAAAGAACCAAATTTGATGGAGAAGTGTTTTGATGGAGAATGTGCTGTAGATGGTCCTATGTAAAAGCTTTTTGAAAAGGGTTCTATGTTGCACCAAAAACGGTTCTTCTACTGTTATGATGTCAAGGGGTTCTATATAGAAACATTGGTAAGACTTTCTATGAATGTCACCTTTGTAAGCATCTATAAACACATTCATAACATGTTATAATGCATTCATAAGGCATTATAAACATAGCTGTAAATATTTATAAAAATGCGTTATACCTTATAGCCATGTTTATTATGCATTATGAATTGTTAACATAATGCGTTATAAAAATACTGATCATAACAAATTATAAGAGCTCATAAGTCGTATTAGTCCGCTCTAAGTAAAGTGAAGCGTACTGTACTAAAGCCTCCTCCAGTGTTCAGAGTGAGGCTTCAAGTTGAAGTGTTTACTGAAGGATTTACTGAAACACTAAAACATACACAGTAAAGCTCATTACAGGCTTCAAATATCAGAGTTTAAACTAGAGCTGCCATCAGTGTTTTACCCAATGTGGGAAAGGTAATGTTCACCACCGTTAGCTTGGTATTTGTCTTTACTTTACGCTCTCCAAGCTGGGACTGACTTCTTTGGCACTGACAGTATAACATGTTATTAACACTATTTATAATGCATTATATTAACGATTCATAGTGTATCATAAACATGGCTATAAAGTGTAATTCAGTGTAATTCTTTTTTATAAATATTCATAACCATGTGTATAATGCCTTATGAATACATTATAACATGTTATAAATGTGTTTATAGATGCTTACAAAGGTGACATTCATAGAAAGTGTTACCGAAACATTTACAGCACATTCTCCTTCTATGTGAAGAAGTATTTCATGATGCAAAGACCTCTTTAATCATGCAAATGGTTCATGGTGTTTATGGTTCTATATGGAACCATTTTCTTTAGTAAAGAACCCTTGGAGAACCATTTTTTTCTGAGTTAGCTAGCTTAGATAAGCTTCTAGTGAAGCCAAACACCTGAAAAACATGCCTCTGTCTCTTTCACATGATGTATTCTTGGAAAATAAGCATCAGCTGAGTAAACCTGGATTTCACTTGTTGATAAATGATGAAATGAAACAGTTCTTTTGAACTCGGGCTGCTGGTCTGTTCAGGCAGAGCTCTCTGAAAGCGTTTCCACTCTGAGGCCCCTGCAGGCTCCGTGCGAGCGCAGGGTTTAATTAGTCCGCTGTGGCTATGCAATTAACTGAGAGTGCTTTAGAGCACTGCTACACCTCGCCAGGAACACAGGGGACTGGAAACAGCCTGAGTTCAAACACGTTCACCAGAAAAGTTCTGAGGCGGTCAGATCACAGGTCTGTTACAGGCTAGTTAGCAGTGCTGTGAATGGCTTCATTCAATTTAGTTCATTTTTAATGATATTGTTCTTTTATATATAAGAATGGCACACTGAAAAAGCTGTTCTCTGCAGTCCTGCGAAGGGCAACAGGTTGTCAGTGTAGTCAATCAATCCCTCCTGACTGTACACTGCAGATTCACACTGGATTAAAATCACTCCACAATTATTACTGTCAGACTGTAAAACTACACACACTGCAGATTCACACTGGATTAAAATCACTCCACAATTATTACAGTCAGACTGTAAAACTACACACACTGCAGATTCACACTGGATTAAAATCACTCCACAATTATTACTGTCAGACTGTAAAACTACACACACTGCAGATTCATACTGGATTAAAATCACTCCACAATTATTACAGTCAGACTGTAAAACTACACACACTGCAGATTCATACTGGATTAAAATCACTCCACAATTATTACAGTCAGACTGTAAAACTACACACACTGCAGATTCATACTGGATTAAAATCGCTCCACAATTATTACCGTCAGACTGTAAAACTACACACTGCAGATTCATACTGGATTAAAATCGCTCCACAATTCAGTCAGACTGTAAAACTCATTTGAAGTTGAGACATACAATCTTGTTTTAGACAAATAAAAAACATCCATTTTGCCATGTTTTCTGCATCAAAATTGGTGGAAAAAGATTTCAAGTGTTTCTAATTCTGTTTAAAGGTAAAATAGGGGAATTCCATCGAATTTTCAAATGTCCTGCCTCACCTAATCATTAAGGTGTAAACAGAGTCATTCAAGTGGTTTGGTGTGAAATGCTCTGTTCTAGAGAAAATTGTTCACAGTGGTGGTGATAGGAACCAGACGTCCAGCTCTAAAAGCTCTTGCACAGAAAATTATTACATGAAACTATTATGAAGCCACTGCCTGATGCCTGATACATTGTTTTATCATAGTTTTAGGATTTTTTTTTTTTAGGTTTTGGCCTAAAATATTTCTAATTTTTAATCCACCAAACAGGTACATGCAGGATGTAATAAATAAAATTGTCCCCAAAGAAAACTCATTTTTTGGGGTTGTGGATAGTAAATAAAATGTCTATATTAGTGTTGTAGTCATTGTGACCCCTGGTTCCAATCACCACCACTATGAAGAAATCAGGGTCAGTACGTTTCTCTGCAGTGAACCATTTCACATCAAAACACTTCACATATCAGTGACTGAATTATGCAGAAATTTTAAAAATTTGTCTTTGAAAAGTATAGCCAAACTGTAATACCTATACATTTCTATGGGTTCATAGCTGAGATTTAGCAACATAATTCAACCATGAATTGACCATGAATGTGTAAATGACACAATAGCTTGAATCTCTATCTTGTTTCGCACTTGAATCTGCATGCAAGTGCCCTTCAAATGCTCCTCGTTTGAGTTCCCTCCTGAGCACACTTCTCTTCAACAGCATCTTCAGCTGAGTGCTGCCTCTGGGGGCTACTTGCCGCCAAACCTTCGGCCTTGTAAAGCAATCTGTCAGTGGTGATGTTTAACCGCAGAAAACCGCACACACACACATTCACACACATACTTGTTTTTGTGAATTGTGGGGGTCACCTGGAGGAATTGTCACATTGTGGGGACCACCCTTTCCAAAGGTCCTACAGACTTGAAAAAAATCATGCTTTGTCAAAATGCACTTGTGAATCATAATATCACTTCAAATTTCAAATATCTCACCATAATGGATTCTGACCTGACCTGGAGGTCACTTGTGGGGACATTTCAGGTATTGAGTATATCTGAGGACCATCATTACACACATCACCCGTTTTCATTCTTTGTGAGGACCAGTTCCATGCTGAGAAGGAACATTGCTTTTTTCTTCTTAATGCAAACAAAATTACTATTCCAGATAGATGCATTAGTTTAGAGACGTATTTATTAGTAGCAGAATAGGTATTAGATGTAGAAAAGTTAAGAACATACTGCAGCAACTCTAACAAATATGCATCTTGCAATAAACCTTTTACCTTGAACAACCTTGTCCACATGACCAGATTAACCAGACCAAAGAAAACCATCAAAATTAACAATTTAAGTTAAATAATAAAGCTCTGGAGATTCTCCATTCAAGATACAGTATGTGTTGACCAAGTCTTACACCTGTCTCTGCAATGCTGTGATGCGATTTTTTACGTAGAACTTAACAGCTAACCAGTCTCTGTTTTTAAGTGCCAGTGGTTCAGCTTCTATACAGCGAACACAGTCAGCTTTTCCTGGAACTTTCCAGCTTTGAATGAACCTCATCATGTGGTTCTCCACAGCATGGATTTCATTAACACTCCAGGGTGTTCTCTTACAGGGACCTAAGAGATAAAAAAACAAACAAATCAAAAGAAATTTTCGTATGCATAAAATGTCATCAAAGCTTTGATCTTTAATCAAACATGCATTTGGCACAAACGGCATAATTTATTTCAGAATTGATTGCGTTTGCTGTCATTTTACAGGAATTTTTAAAAAATGACCAAAAAATGAATGAGATGACAGTTTAGAATTTCAACTTTTATTTTCTGATATTTACATCTTGATGTGTTGAACAACTTAGAACAGGGCACCTTTGATGGCAGACCACCCAATTTTTAGGTCAGCAAATTTATAGTAACAGAGTCTTAAAGTAAATTAAAGCAGATAACACTTTATATTTTGTTGTGTATCCCTTGCTTGCAGTAACTGCATCAAGCTGGTGACCCACTGACATCACCAAACTGTTACATTCTTCTTTTGTGATGCTTTTCCAGGCTTTTTACCACAACTTCTTTCAGTTGTTAATTTTTTGGGGGGTTTCTCCCTTCGTTCTCCTTTTCAGGAGGTGAAATGCTGCTCAATTTGGTAAAGGTCCGGTTAATGCAAGAAACACCTGTTAGTCACATGTTCTAATATGTTTGCTAACTGGAAAAATGGGTGGGTTCAAACAAAAGTTGCCATATTCTGACATCTAGATGTAAATATCAGAAAATAAAAGCTGATCTATGAATGAAAAATGAAATTCTGATCTATCATCTCATATTAATCTTCTGAGCAAAAACACAAAAGAATTGGCCTTTACATTCCAAAACTTTTAGAGGAGACTGTATGTGGAATATAGCCGCAGTAAACAGTTAAACTGGATCAGGGTTGTAATTTATATGTATAAAGTGGAATCCAAAAGTCATACCACTAGTGAAAATGCTTCTATTTTGCATTGTTTTGTAACTTATTGCCAAGTTTTTAATTAAAAATTTTATCAGCATGACTGTGTGAAAAGTATTTTGTACAGTATGTCCCCATTTGCTTTAATGACAGCATGTGTTGTCAAGCTGGCATGGACTCTACAAGTTTGTGTAAAAGCATCTGATGAGTAGATCAAATGCACCTGAGAGTCATATGAACACAAGCTTCAAGAGATAAGACTACAAAACAATCTGACATTTTATACAAAGACCTTAACACTGTAATAGTGACCAAAAAAAGTGCCAAACCTTGCATATTTCTTCTTCATTTTACTTAGTCATAGCTTTGCTTTGTTTTAAAATTTTCAAAAATCTTTTGTTCATTTATAATTTTGACTAAATCCCAAATTTCTAACGTGGTCTCAGACTCTTTGCTTTATGTTTTTATTTTAAAAAAAGTATTCACAAGCATAACAATAATAACAATAAACAAAATAAGTAAAAAAAATAAGCTGAAGTTTAAGATTCGTAAAATTTTTACCATTTGAGGCCGCTTGCACAACCTTTATCTTTAAAGCTGTTTTACCTAAGGTTGTTTGCGTGACTGTTCAGTCATGTTCACATGTGGGAATATCACTGTCTTGCTGTGGTTTGTATGAAATAAATAAAAAAAAAAAACAAACAACAGATTTGGTAAATTAACTCTGTTAACCATCATTACGCATAGGTCTAACCGACAGACTGTACACGTTCTGTGTACAAACATAAACACTAAAGAATCATCTTTGGATAATGACCTTACCTCTCTTTCTTTTAATTGACCTCAGCAATTGGCCTGTCTCACCGTCATTTAGCCCTGCACTGACTTGTGGTAAGGACAAAGTTGCATCACACTCTGAAAATAAGAAAGGAAAGAGAAGATTAATACATTTTTGGCATTATATTTTCCTTCCTGCCTTCCCTATTCTAATATACCTGATAAGTCCAATTCATCACATATGTAAACAAATATAAAAGTTTAAAATCTTTGGTTAATGACCTTACCTCTCACTTTTTTGTTTGACCTCAGCACTTGGTCTCCCTCCTCGTCAAATTGCCCTGCATTGTCTTGTGGCAATGACATGGGTGCATCACACTCTGATAAAGCCATGTAAATGTAAACACCTAGCATCATTCTGCCATATCCTGCTCCTGTAATGCTCCTGCCCCGTCATTTTTCTTGTTTGCTGTTGTAATACATTTGATTCAACTAATACTGAGTAGAAGTTGGTGTGTTACAGCAAGGAAAACACTAAAATTAGCAGACCAAGAGAACTCCCATGACCATTCTGTTTGTCAAAACAACAGAACAGACACCACACACATTACTTATTTCTCCCCCTGTCATTAGGCAAACAGTACTGTAGAATTCAGTCCAGAAATACCTGAATGAAGTTTCTAAACTCTCCTAAACTGCTATCTTTGGCATATTCACTAACGTGAAGCTTTACCTCACTCGTGCTGTTGAAATACTACTGCTCTATTACAGCATTTACATAACACACATATACCGCACAATACAGCTACGCTGTAATATACCCCAAGTCCTGTAAAAAGTGTAAAAATGTGCATTTTGAAATATACATAAATACACTGACTGTATGCACTTCATCATGAATTTGCTGCATTTTTGGTCAATCAGAAAAATCCTGTAACAAATGCATTTTAAAATACCCCTTCTATGTAAGTACATTCACAAGTTTTTCTGACGAGTAGTTTTAGATCAAATGTATAAATTAGCTTAAAAACAAGATTACTAAATTCAGGGTCAAGATCTGTCAGGCAAAAGTACTGAGGACCTTGGAATGCAATAAATCCAGAACTGTACAGAAAGTCATAAACATTTACTACCTTAATTCTGAGGATAATATTAAAGAAAAAAAAAAGATTGGGGTATGTTAACCACTTACCGGTCGTACTGCTTTCAGGCTCTTCCAATTCACTGTCCACTGTAACTTGCTCTAAAGGCAGAAAAAGAGAGTACAAATAAAAAAAGTTGTAATAACCATACTCTGAGGTATGCAAGTTATAGCATGTGTTCGATTCAAAAGATATCACAAATTATTTTACACTCAGTGTTCTGAAACTCTGTATGGCAACAAAAAATCATAAAATCACTGTGTGTTGTAAGAACGACTAATTGTGTGGTGTATTGTACCATCAGGATCAATGTTGATTTCATCAAGATTCCTCCCCTTGAATTCTGTCAAGCGACCCTTCTCAAATGCTAGGAGAATTTTGCTCAGTTTAGCCAGTTGGAGGGTGCCCTCAGGTAAGCGGTAAAACTGACGATGCACACGAATGTCATGGCCTAGAAAATCAGCCAACTGATCCAGCTCTGTGTTGCTGAGGTTTAACACTTCCGAGAGGGTTCCAATCTGTTTTCTTAACTTTGTAGAGGTGAGTGTGCTGGGATTTTTCACACCAGAAGCCTTTGCAAAATCCCGGATACAGTCTGAGCCTCGAAAGCAGGTCATTGCAAAAGGGCGTGCAAAGAGGTAGATATTTTCCTGAAGTACTCCACATTTACTTCGATTCTTTACGAGCACGTCAAGTGATTCTTGCATTGTTGGAGTTACAAGAACAGCAACCTTCCTGCCTCTTTTGCCTCTGATCTCTATTCGTTTGAAGTGTTGACAGAGCTTCTTTTCCAATTCTGAGAGGGCCAGGCAAACATCTGGATGAGGATCTGATGCATCTCTGGAAGTGTATGCAGACAAGGGCATGTGAGAAACTTCTCCTTCACGTCTCCGATTAAACAGCATCATTTGCGTCAGTGTGACCTTTGCTAATTGTGACCAGTGCTGAGATGAAGGCTCCGCTGACAGCATTTTACGGTAATGGTGCTCTTGCTCATCAAGATACAAGTGAAGACGTTTAACATCTTCGGTGAATGGAAGCAACTGAGGAGAGTTCCATTTGGCTTCCTCCAGTGTTCGCCGAGCTGTGGCTGAAATATACTCATGCCATCTGGAGCTATAGATTTTCTGGAAGCTGCTGGCCTCTTTTGCTGTTGCTTTGTCTCCTTCTATGGTGGCATTGCTTTCAACAAGCATAGCAATTCTGTTCAGGCTATGCCCAAGTTTCACGGCTACACTTGCTGATTCATATTTATTTGTGTCTTTGTTGTAACCAGCTGTCTGCTTAACTGCAGTGACTGTATGCATGAAGTTTTCAGGACGGATAAGATCTTTAATACACTTAAGGGGTGTGACCTCTTGTGTGCATATTTGGAGTCTTCCAAGCTCTCTCATCTTCTGACGGATGTATTCGTGCATTTTAACCTGCGATCCATACTTATTATACAGATGCTTTCCAAAATCAATTATACACTGGTCATTCCGGACTGCAAGAGCCACTCTATCTTGATTCATGGCACTTATAAGCTTCCAAACACCATCAGTTACACCTGGTGGGGGAGGTGTCGCGAAAGAGCACAGAGCCTGGACACGGGTTTTTCCAGGTTTAGGTGTGGAGTCACCAGGCTTGAATTTGCAGACTTTAACATGTCGCCACAATGTTTTCTTTAAAAACAATCCCTGACAGTGAACACAAGGAATAAACTCTTCACCATCTGAGAGTTTTTTTGGTAACTTGCGAGGAACTAGTTTTCCTTTGCCTGTTTTCAATACAACAGAATTGTGCTCAAAATTACCTTTGTTACGCAGATACTCTAACTGCATTCTCCTTTTTTTGGATCCCTTTGGATGACTTAGTGCCTTCGCTACCTCCACCTCTTTGGAATGTTTACGCTCCAGGTGTCTTGCAAGTTTGGAAAAAGCTAAGCCACAGAACAAGCAGTGCTGTTTTTTGTCATACACTCTCCCACCATCACTCTTTTTGCTTACAGCAGGAATAATCACTGAGTGACTTGTGCTTTCTTGGTCAACAAATGATGTGCTGTCTGGATTAAGTGTTTTATCACAGCTGCGAGAGTTCTGAGTGTCACTACTGCTCTGAAGTTCACCGTTTCCGCTGCTGCTCTGAATCTGAGAGGTAGAGCTGCTGATAATGTTCTGACAAAGTGGGTTTGGGCTTGTACTAGTGCTCTGAAGTGGACAAGCAAGGGGCCTTCTTTTGCACTTTGACGATGGAAAAATTGTGCTACTGTCTGAACTATCTTCTGAGGTATCTGGAATATATTCTTCCTCACTCCCTTCACTGTGATCAGACAGCTCCTCATTGGTGTCAATACACTCATCCGAGTTATCAGGACTCTTCCCTCTGAACTTAAAAAACAGTGACAATTTAACTAATGAAATCCTGAACCACATATAATCCTGTCTGATGAAATGTAAAATATGAAATGAGAAATTTAAGACTTACTTGACTGCTTTGTCGTTTTCTTAGTGTGTTCCCAGCCCATGTGTGTTCCAATTTTCTGACCTTATCAGCACCTGCATGATTATTGTCCATACTGCTTTTACTGGAGTTGTAATTATCATCAGTGGAGTCAAAAAGGTCATCTGAATAATCAGAAGTCTTCTCTTGTATCTAAGAAAAACAATACTGTAATTCATTTAAGGCACTCGATACTTATTGTTCAACTAATAATCCTAGAAAATAAACAGAAGATTTACACCAAAATGAATAAATGCAAGAAATAGAATCCACTGCAATTATCAAAAGAATATTATTTTAAAACTATAATGTGCTTATTTTAAAGCAGTTTAATTATAACGCAAGGATATTCAATTTCAACCATGTTCAACCTCTAAATCAGAATAAACGTGGAGTAATGGGTAACGCCAATTTAACAGTCAACGTATTGTGGAAAATCTGATATTTAAAATTTATATTTGTTGAGTAATACTGCCAGATTATTGATCCATTAGACATTTAATTGTGTGGTACAAAAAGAGTCAGGCCTAACAGAATGCTTTTATTTTTCTGAGAGTTCATACAGACCCTTAAAAGAGAGGTTAAGGTCAGAAAAATAAAACAGAAGAAATTGCTTCTATTTTTTTTCCAGTGTTTAACTACAGCATGCTGTATTCCACCATTACGAAAACAATACAAATATTATTAACGATATGTAATAATTTAGTGGGTATTGCTTATTAAGCTGACACCAAAAAAACTGATGTCAGAATATGAAAACACTTTTAAATACCTTTAAGGAAGTTCGAGCATTGGTCACAGGACCTGAAGCTGAGTGGCTTGATTCAACTACGGTCATCACGTTAGCAGCGTCCTCATATTCAGGCTACAGGAGTTTCAAATATCACAGTTAAACATTTCAATACATCTCAAACACAAGTATATCATTATTTAAAAGGCACTACAGAATTTCACACCATGTTTTATCAGTGTCTGCTGCTTCAAGTTAACCAGACACAGAGATACAACGTTATAGAAAAGAGTGTGTAAATGACATCAATCTTAACATGAATCAAAAATTCATATTACACCCATAATGGGATTAATTATGAGAGTAAAAACTGCTATTGAGTACAACAGACCATATGTTCTTTTATGTGTTCACTGCTCTGCTGGTTCACATTGACTAGACGTGGTCCCCACTATACTAAACCTGACAGTGTGTGTAACCAATACCAAACTTTCAGACTCGTGTACAAAGAGGAAACTATTACAAATTCATTTCAGAGACTGAATGACATTGCTCATGAGGGCATTTAAACTGTAATTCAGAAATAAAGTCTACATATTGTCCTGTGAGTCTACTGCTATAGTGCAAGGTTCTACCTAGACGTGGTCCCCACTATGGCAGACCTGACAGTGTGTGTGACCAATATCAACCTTAAACACTTGTATAAAAACAGAAAACTATTACCAGATCATATGAGACCCTGAATGACATTAATCATAGGGTAACCTACACTGTAGTTCAGAAATGTTGTCTATATGTTGTCCTGAGAGTCCACTGCTATAGTGGAAGGTTCTCCTTAGATGTGGTCCCCACTATGCTAAACATGACAGTGAGTGTAACCAAAACCATTCAAACATTTCTATCCTGAGATGGTCCCCACAATGCGAGACCTGAGAGCATGTGTAACTAATACAGAATTTCACACCATATTTTATCAGAGTCTGCTGCTTTAGTGGGTCAAGTTAACCAGACATGGAGCCACCATGTTATGAAAGACAGAGTGTTAATGACATCAATCTTAATATGAATCAAAAATTCATGACACCCTTAAAGGAATTAATTATAAAGAGGACAAACTTCTGTTGAGAACAATAGACCATATATTCTTCAGTGTTCACTGCTCTGCTGGTTCAGGTTGACTAGACGTGGTCCCCACTATACTAAACCTGACAGTGTGTGTAACCAATATCAACCTTAAACACTTGTTTAAAAACAGGAAACTATTACCAGTTCATATGAGACCCTGAATGACATTAATCATAAGGTAACCTTCACTGTAGTTCAGAAATGTCTATATGTTGTCCTGTGAGTCTACTGCTTTAGTGGAAGTCTCTACCTAGACGTGGTCCCCACTATACTAAACCTGACAGTGTGTGTAACCAATACCAACCTTACAGACTTGAGTACAAAGAGGAAACTATTACAAATTCATTTCAGACACAGAATGACCTTGCTCATAAGGGCATTTAAACTGTAATTCAGAAACAAAGTCTACATATTGTCCTCTGAGTCTACTGCTATAGTGCAAGGTTCTACCTAGACGTGGTCCCCACTATGGAAGACCTGACAGTGTGTGTGACTTATATCAACCTTAAACACTTGTTTAAAAACATGAACTGGTAATAGTTTCCTATGGGACCCTGAATGACACTAGTCATAAGGTAACCTACACTGTAATTCAGAAACAAAGTCTACATATTGTCCTGTGAGTCTACTGCTATAGTGCAAGGTTCTACCTAGACGTGGTCCCCACTATGGCAGACCTGACAGTGTGTGTAACCAATATCAACCTTACAGACTCGTGTACAAAGAGGAAACTATTACAAATTCATTTCAGACGTTGAATGACATTGCTCAGGAGGGCATTTAAACTGTAATTCAGAAACAAAGTATACATATTGTCCTGTGAGTCTAATGCTATAGTGCAAGGTTCTACCCCACTATGGCAGACCTGACAGTGTGTGTGACCAATATCAACCTTAAACAATTTTCAGTTCATATGAGACCCTGAATGACAGTCATAAGGTAACCTACACTGTAGTTCAAAAATGTTGTCTATATGTTGTCCTGTATGTCTACTCCTTTAGTGGAAGTCTTGACCTAGATGTGGTCCCCACTATGCTAAATCTGACAGTGAATGTAACTAAAACCATTCAAACATTTCTATCCTGAGAGGGTCCCCACAATGCGAAACCTGAGAGCACGTGTAACTAATACTATCCCTAAGGCCACACTTAAAAACAATTAACCCTCACAAATGTATACCAGACAACAAATGAAATCAGTCCTGAAGTAACTTCAATTGACCATAAATAGCTGCAGAACTACCAAGTAGTTCAATCACTACGTGCATACAAAAACATTTTTTTAAATACCTTTAAGCCAGAAGAAGTTCCAGAGTTGGTCACAGGACTTGAAGCTGAGCGGCTTGGTTCAACCACGTCCATCATGTTAGCAGAGTCCTTACATGCAGGCTACAGGGATTTCAAATAATACAGTTAAATATTTAGAATTGAACAGCATTTCATACAAAAGAAATGAGGCTGTCCCAGGCTACACCAAATAGTGTACATGTAATGCAAACTACACAGTCTACACATCATAACTACCTAATAAGACAATAACTTGCACCAAAAAATGCAGTATTACTAGGCCAGTAAAGTCATTCACTTGTCTAATAGTTCTAAAGAAACAATCTTCCGAACAACTGATACATGTGTAAACCAATGCAGTAATTACATGCTGTAACGCAAGTATGTCTACACTTTTTTAAATACCTTTAAGTCAGAAGAGGAAGCTCCAGCGTTGGTCAGAGGACTTGAAGCTGAGTGGCATGGTTCAACGTCGTCCATCATGTTAGTAGTGTCCTCACATGCAGGCTAAAGGGATTTCAAATATCACAGTTAAACATTTCAATAAACCTCACAAAACATGTACATCAGTATTTAAAATGCAATACAGAATTTCACACCATGTTGTATCAGTGCCTGCTGCTTTAGTGGGTCAAGTTAATCAGACATGGAGCCACCATGTCACAGAAGACAGAGTGTAAATGACATCAATCTTAATATGAATCAAAAATTCATATGACACCCTTAAAGAAATTAATTATAAAGAGGACAAACTGCTGTTGAGAACAAAAGACCATATATTCTTCTGTGTGTTCATTGCTCTGCTGGTTCACATTGACTAGACGTGGTCCCCACTATACTAAACCTGACAGTGTGTGTAACCAATATCAACCTTACAGACTCGTGTACAAAGAGGAAACTATAACAACTTCATTTCAGACGCTGAATGACATTGCTCAGGAGGGCATTTAAACTGTAATTCAGAAACAAAGTCTACATACTGTCCTGTGAGTCTAATGCTATAGTGCAAGGTTCTACCTAGACGTGGTCCCCTCTATGGCAGACCTGACAGTGTGTGTGACTTATATCAACCTTAAACACTTGTTTAAAAACATGAACTGGTAATAGTTTCCTATGAGACCCTGAATGACACTAGTCATAAGGTAACCTACACTGTAATTCAGAAACAAAGTCTACATATTGTCCTGTGAGTCTACTGCTATAGTGCAAGGTTCTACCTAGACGTGGTCCCCACTATGGCAGACCTGACAGTGTGTGTGACCAATATCAACCTTAAACACTTGTTTAAAAACAGAAAACTATTACCAGTTCATATGAGACCCTGAATGACATTAATCATAGGGTAACCTACACTGTAGTTCAGAAATGTTGTCTATATGTTGTCCTGAGAGTCCACTGCTATAGTGGAAGGTTCTCCTTAGATGTGGTCCCCACTATGCTAAACATGACAGTGGGTGTAACCAAAACCATTCAAACATTTCTATCCTGAGAGGGTCCCCACAATGCGAAACCCGAGAGCATGTGTAGCTAATACCATCCCTAAGGCCTCACTTAAAAACAATTAACTCTCACAAATTTATACCAGACAACAAATGAAATCAGTCCTGAAGTAACTTCAATTGACCATAATTAGCTACAGAACTACCAAGTTGTTCACTATATGGACATAACATTTTTTTAAATACCTTTAAGTCAGAAGAAGAAGCTCCAGAGTTGGTCACAGGACTTGAAGCTGAGCGGCTTGGTTCAACCACATCCATCATGTTAGCAGAGTCCTTACATGCAGGCTACAGGGATTTCAAATATCACAGTTAAACATTTAGAATTGAACAGCATTTCATACAAAAGAAATGAGGCTGTCCCAGGCTACACCACATAGTGTACATGTAATGCAAACTACACAGCCTACACATCACAACTCACAACTACCTAATAGGACAATAACCTACACCAAAAATGCCATATTACTAGGCTAGTAATGTCATTCACTTGTCTAATAGTTTTAAAGAAACAATCTTCTACACACTGTAATGCAAACATGTCAATCACTTTATGGATATAAAAACACTTTTTTTTTAAATACCTTTAGGTCAGAAGTGGAAGCTCCAGCATTGGTCACAGGACCTGAAGCTGAGCGGCTTGGTTCAACATTGTCCTTCATGTTAGCAGTATCCTTACATGCAGACTACAGAGATTTCAAAATATCACAGTTAAACATTTAGAACTGAAGAGCATTTGTTAACAACAAATACCCACACCAAAAAATGCCACACTATTAAGCTAATAATGTCATTCACCTGTCTTATAGTTGTAAACAGCATTTTTTGTTGTCCTGAGAGTCTGTGCTGTGTCGGTGCTACACTGTCCAGTCTGTTTACTGTGTCTGTCTGTTTAATTTATTGTATTCATTGTATTGTTTCTAGCTTAATTTTTGTTTGCACACTATGCACATTCACACTTTGTAATTTTGTACTTTTTGTTCCTTGTTGCACCGTGTTGTTCCTGGAGGAACGTAATTTTGCTCCACTGTGTACTTGTACATAGATGGAATGACAATAAAAGCCTCTTGACTTGACTTTATAAAAAAAAAAACCACAATCTTTAGAACAACTGATATTATCATACTAAAGACTCATACTAAACAGCTAATAATTTTTAATAGCATTAATAGTGTGGATGATTAATGTTTATGACCTCAACTGAATGTTTCCACTAAGATTCCATCAAAATCCTTATAAAATATGTAATTCAGGCTAAGCCATCATCTAAATGATTATCTAATCTATTTAATCTCTAGAAAATGTAACTTCCACTCCATTTCAAGGCAGCAATACACGTTGCAAGGGCTTTCAAAGTGTTACCTTTTGTTCAAATGCTGATAAGCACCCTGAAACCTCTTTCATTTCCAAAAGGCATGGTTTTAAAAGGACAATCATACTGCTAAGCTAGTAAAATCTATTTCAAATATTTTCCAAACACATCTTACAAACCTTTCTCCTCCAAGGCCAGTCACTTCCTCCATAGTCGTAGGTTATTTCCTCTCCAGGCATTATATCTCTAATTGCAAAAAGGCAGAGATGCGGTTTTCCCTGGACAATGATCTTTTTCATTTTACAGTTGGGGTCCTTGTGCTCATCGTTCACAAGTCGGCCAAGGGTGTCATCCTCTCTTGTTGCATCAACGCTTTAAAAATGAAAAAAACAAAACAAAAAAAAAAAAAATACATTTATTGTATTCTATGTATGAATTAGATTACTGCATATAGTTAGTAGTGCCACAACAATCAATAAGCATTAACAACACTACTGTTGAAATATACGGGTGGGCAACATAATACTAACACCGGTATATTTTTAAATGCGATAGGATTTTGCCATATCCCGCTATTGTGATGTAACCACACGTGACTTGTGCTCATGGTGCCTAAACAGGGCCAGTGATACAGAGAATAGTATCACTAGCACTGAGGACAACTTAGTTTTTAAAAGGGGAGATGTGTCAGTAGTGTGGAAGTTTTTTGGCTACATATGGTTAGACGCCAAACAAACAACAGTAATTTGCAAAACGTGCAAAAATACTGTGACCACAAAAGCTGGCAATTTATTCCATCACCTAAAGCAAAGACACTCACTTGAGTGTGAGGAGTGTCAGAAACTGCGTGAGTCTGAGAGCACATGAGCAAAGGTTTCTCAAACCAACAAACTAAAGATAGCCTCTCAGGCAACAATCGCTGGAGCATATGCAAATGCTGTGCTCTCAGAGTCACGCTCTGCCAAGCTAACTGCTATGTTAAAGTATGTTAACATTATAATGGTAAAAAGGTTTTACATGCACCTCGTCCATTCATTTTTATGGAGTGTTTTTTCTGCACTGAATTCAAATTTGCTGAACTTTGACCCATGCTGTGCTGACCTTGAAACACACAGCCAATGACACTAGACTATTTTTTGGCATAATGTCGCTGTAGAATAAAATAATCTGTTAAAACATTTGAGATGTTTGTTTGAACTCCTCTGACAGGTGGTTTGCTATCTTTATTTACCAAGAAAACAAGCATGTTCCCTGACGCTGGCTTCAAAAGCTACAATATTGCAAACAGTGCTAAATACTCTCTCAGCAGATGCATGGTGGCAGAGATATGCACAGATATTTACTGGCTAACTTGTTGACAATAAGAAGTTATGCAGCCTCCACCATGTAAGGGCATCACTCTCACTGTCAGTTTTTTGAAGGTTAATTTAGTGCACATTTATTGGAATTTGTATTTAAGAGTTCACTATCTGCAGCAGAATATAATAAAGTATTTCAAATGAACAGAAATAATTTCAGAGCTTTCTTTAGTTAATATTGTTACTGCAAAAATATCCCAAAATACTGACATTATTTCAAGGCCTTATCGCCCACCCCTACTGAAATCCAAACTATAATCTAGTATAGTTAATACTAATACTACAAAATTTTCATTTCATATAGTTAATAATAGTTTAAAACCACAAGCTAAATTTTTGACAAAAAAAATATTCTACAAAATACCTTCTATGATAATCACTAACATGTAATCTCTGAAACTTACCACCACTGTTTATTCTGCCAAAAGAAGTCAAACATAAATACAGTAATTCGGGAGACCTTCCTCCTTCTCTCTGATTCAAGGAAGTCTATCAGTTCCCCTCTGTATTCGACCACAAAATCTCCTTTATTCACAGAAGCCAGGGCAAATACACCACGACCTGTCAAAGAAGTAAAATAAAGATAAACAAATCATATGCATGTTGTAGCAGCTGTGATACAGAAGAACATCCTGCACTGTAAGACAGTGGATTAACTGTTTTAAAATGTATCGTGTCAGTATGGCAATTCATCTTTCTAATTGAATTTCTAATTTAATTAATACACCACCATTAAATTTAGTGTACATAATATTACATAAACCAGCTTCAGCACAGAGGACTGTGGAAATGGCAATCAAGCAAAATAGATGAAAAGAATTTTTTAACCTCACGCAAATGAAAAGTGAACTGTACCAGGGAGTGGCCAATTCAAATGTGGATAATATAATAAAACAAAAATATTCAAATGAATGTATCAAAAACATAACTAACATTTAGCAGCAGATAACCACATTTTATAAACACTATTAAGCTGAGTTTCACCTGCATTTCATTGGTACAAACAACTAGTCTACTACTATATACACTTGTGTTCTGGACAGCTGAACGGTTCGTATTTTAGTTGCATGCCCCCAAAACGACTAACATTTGGCAAGAGGAATTTTTTTCTTTATTTTAATGTAAATATGCAGGCAAAACCACAACAATAGAGAACTGATGCTTCTTACTGCTGCTTGAAGGCTTCACCACAAGAAAGGCTGCACCAGACCCACCTTTATAAGGGTTTACTAATTTACTCTCCAATACATCAGTCTTGTCAGTTGCACTGGTGACATGCTGAACTGCTTCATCAAGTGGTTTCACCCTCCTCCGTCTCATTTTATCTTCTCCTCCTGCAACTGAGAGTATCTGAAGCAGAAGGTTGACAAATCATACTCAAAGCAAGGCCACATGGAACAGCAAAAACATTTGTATGGCCAAGAATTTGCATTTTTCATATGAAATTTTAAAAAATGATTTTGAAAAGAAGCTAAATGGAATGACTCTTAAGACAAGATTAAACCAGTAAGAGGTCTTGATAATAGGCCAGTGCAAAGAAAAGAGTTCTAACCATAAAAAAAACAATGCTTGTAATATATTATTTTATTAAAACTTAATTCATTCATTTACTGTAAGTGTAGACCTAAATGCAACTGTGTGAATTAGCTCTTCTTATATTTAGAGCTCAAATGTAGATCAGTGCCTCACTCTCCCTCTTTCTTTCCACACGTCTTACTGTCTCCCTCTCCAAAACTGTCTGTCTCTCTCTACAACTAAACATATAGCGAGGCAGTGAGCCTTATAGTACACCTGAAAGATTAAATGATTTTCAAATCACAAAGAGTTACAATAATAATCATAGCCTACATGATGAACAACACTGTCTTAAGAATTTATAAGTGCAGAAATTGAACCTAACACAGAGCTTTTGAACCACCTCTACAGGACAACACAATCACCATTAACTGGCAGGTTGGCACACTACTTTCAGAGTTCAAGCCTCGGCCAAAAAAAATGGATGTGCTGGTCTTTTGGCCACAACACATGCCTTCCATTTACTGAAATCAGTAACAGATCAAATAGCAGATACAATCTTTTTCAGAACAACCTGCAATCAGATATTTTACCAAATATTTCAGCCCCACCTTGCAGTCAATTGTCATCCAGTTAAGCTCGACAGCTGTTTTCTCTCTCTCTCTGTGCACACACACGCACAAAACCCACAGCCCTTTTAATACTCCGATTATTTGAATTAATAAAATACCTGGTAAGAACAGTGAGTCTTACCCTGCTGTATTTTTCAACTAAGTTAGATTAATAAGATAATCTCCACACAGCTTCCTCTCTCTAAAATGTACATACAGCTTTTTTAAAAACTTTGATCACATGAAACCAATAAAATATCCAACACACTTTTCTCCCTAAACTACAAACATACAAACTAAGCTTGAGGTTACAAAAGTGGGCCTTATAGCTCATTACCATCACCATAACTACCATTACCACTACGCACGGAACACACAGCCCTTTAAACCTCTGACTACACAAAACCAACCAAATCTCTCTCTCTCTCTCTCTCTCTCTCTCTCTCTCTCTCTCTCTAAAGCTAAATATCACTGAAAAAGCCTCACGTTACCAAACAGTGGGCCTTACAGCGCGTTAGCGTCAAGCTAACTAGCTAACGAGTTATGAGCTCCTGAAATGTTGTGGTCGCTCGAGATAACACAGAGTCTAAGTCGAGAGCAAACATAAAACCTTCTCTTAGCGAGCAAAGGCAAATATTTAAGCTATGAAGAGTTTTAAAATCCGGCTTAATTTACCTTACTCATTAACATCCAGCTAACCAGCCCCCCCCCCACTTCTCTCTCCCTTCTCCCTCCCTTCTCCAGCCCCCCCTTCTCTCTCTCCACTACGCACGCACGGAACTCTCAGCCTTTTAAAACACTAATTACTCAAACCCAGCCTAATGTCCTCCACTTTCTCACCCTGTACAGCTAAACATCACTGAAAACGCCTCACGGTACCGAACAGCGGGTCTTACAGCACGTTAGCATCGAGCTAACTAACGCTAGCTAGCTAACGAGTTATGAGCTCCTGAAATGTTGTAGTTGCTCGAGATAACACAAACTGAGTCGAGAGCAAACATAAAACCTTCTCTTAGCGAGCAAAGGCATATATTTAAGCCATGAAGAGTTTTAAAATCCAGTTTAACTTACCTTACATCGGTGCTTCTTGAGTGCAGCTATCCTTCAGCTCTTTCGTGGCGTGACAGAGGGAATTATGGGAAGTGTAGTTTTTGTTCTTCCAAGTCCCATTCGTTCCATTCAATATAGAACGGAAAAAACTACAGGCGCCATTTTAGCTTCACCTCGGTATGCACACAAACAAAGCTATTAGGTTATAACATTAGCTTAGACCAGAAGTTCGACCGGAGTACTTTAAACCATTAAAAATTGACTATATATACACTTATATATGTATTATACTGAACGTATCGATGTTGAAGACCTTATAACGCTGATGCTTATATATTTTATATTTTCTTTGGAACTTTTGGTAGTTTATCTTTTAACTGACTCACTGTTATAATGCAGTGCATATTACAATGCAATATAATAGGAGACAATAATTTTTTATCTGACTGTAAACTGTTCACGTTTTGGTTTCTTGATTGTAATATTTATATGTTTAACAAAACTAACTATTTATTTCATTAATATGTCTTATTTGTGTTTACCTTGTAGTAGCAGTGATTAATTCAGCGTTCACAGCACTCAGTGACGTGTATCAGGGTTGCGCAGGCGCAGTAGTGAAAGTGTGCTTACGGTCCGCATCCTAAGCACACTTTTAGGGTAGGGTGCAGTACCACCAAGATACCGCCGGGGGCATCGGTGAGCATGTGTGTAAGCACGCTTTTACACACTTCTCATGTTTTTGCGTATGGTGGGGTCCAAAAAAAAAACTGCACCACCTATATCAGCATGGTCTCCTGAGTCAACTGGCGCATTTTGGCTGAAAACATTGTGGGGACCGGCAAACTGGTCCCCACAATGTTTTCGGTCCCCACACTGTGAGTGTGCTAACGTGTTGCGGCCCCCACCATGTAATAAAAACAAACACACACACACACACACACACACACACGCACATACAAACCGGCTCGTATCCGGCTGGATCTGCCTCTCTCTGCCACCCACCGGCCTCACTGCAAGCAGCCCTCCACCTGCTGCTATAAACAAACCCCACAGCCGCTAATCAAGCTCACTCTCTCCCTCAGAGGAAGCCCCCGTCAGTCAGCCAGCCTGACATTCCAGAAGCGTTTTACACCCCGCGTGCAGAGGGAGATGCTTGGACAGATGGGGTTTCTACTGTTGGAACAGCAGGCAAGCCACTCTTGGCTTCAGCTATGTTTAAGAGCAAACCTGCTGAGAAGCGTTCAGTCCGCCCCACGGCAGGTCAAAAGACCCTTTAAACTCTAAGGGTCCATATATGAGTCCAAACTTCAGTTCACTCTCATTACTACAGAACTTACGAGTTACTTATGAGTTTCATAGTTGTTCTGTGGACAGAGTGGACACTGAGAAATGTATACCAGACAATGAATAATTTATAGTAGCTACTGGATATTTCATAGTACATACTGAATACTTAACAGTAGATATTGACTAATTTTGGATTCTGAATAATTTGTAGTTGTTTTTAATAATTTATAGTAGTGGCTTTGTTTCATATCATATTTTAATCCCCACACGAACCATATCAAACTTATTATAACCTCCTCCACGGCTAGTAGTTTCAATGAAAACCGAGAATTATCAACTTTTATCAGCTCTCCATCTGATTCAGTCTTTTTTCAGAGTTTTATCATATGACTGAGTCATCTGATACTTATCATTCTACTTAATAGATAACAGTGAATTAGGTAGAAAAAGCTCACTCCACGCTGTTAGAAATGAAGGTTCTGTGCAGGTACGTTTTTAGTTCATCAAGGTACAAATAGTGTAAATGTTCCCTCAAAGGTACAACAGTGGTTTTAAGGTCTGTTTGTGAATCTTAAATAAGTGTTTCCAGGTGAAAAGTTTGTATTTGTACCTTTTCATAACCGAATGTTTTAAAACAGAACAGTAAAATAAAAGCCTGGAGGCGAGACGGGGTGTGTGGAGTCAGTACAGCTTAGAACATATCATTTCAGTGGATTATGGTTCAGTTATGTTCCCTGACTAAAGGTACTGAGATGGACCCCTGAGAGTCCCACCCCAGTGACAAGAGGGGCACTGACCCAGAAACAGTTTACTACCTTTATTTCTGAGATTGCATGGTGTGATTATTCTCATGCTCTAAAAAAGGCCATCTAAAAGCTAGAATATACATGGAAAATGGACTAAAAATAGAAATATTCCAGTCTGCAAAAGGAAAGCATTATAGACATTATAAAAAAAACATTGTTTCAGAGTCGACACTGAAAAAATTCAAAGTAGCTACTGAATCATTTAGTAGTTACTGCATGATTTATAGTAGATACAGAAAATCTCATAGTAGTTACTGAACAATTCATAGTAAATACCAAATAATCTATAGCATTTACTGAATAAATTATACATACATACATCATCTAAACCACTTATCCTTCTGGGTCGCGGTGGGGTGCTGGAGTCTATCCCAGCTGTCATTGGGCGGAAGGCAGGATACACCCTGGACTGGTCGCCAGTCCATCGCAGTGCTGAATAAATTATAGCAGTTACTAAATATTTTATAGTAAATACTGAATACTTCATATTCATAGTAGATTATGCATAATGTATAGTAGCTAGTGAATAATAAATCTTATGATTAATAACACAGTAATGAGCCTGCAGTGTAATGAGTTAGAGATTGGTCTTGCTCCATGCTGAGCCACACTGACTAAGAGGAAATGCCACCCCATGGTTCTTCCCACTAAGGTAATTTGACTCTGAAACAATGTCAGTAGTCATTATGTTTAAGGGCAGCATGTGTGTGACCAGCGGAAACCAACAGGGATAGCCATTCACCGAGAGATGGTCTAATGCTAGATAAAGGCTTCAGTTCTCCAGTTCTGGTGGGTCCATAGCATGGCATGGTTCAGTTTTTGCCTCAATGCACCAGACACAGCTCATCAGCTACTTACTTTCATTAACGAAAGACTTTATAAACCCATAAGAAAGTCCAAGGATTTATCTGCATGACTGTTACTTTATGTGTAAATTAAAAGGTATACAGTTATGAATGATAATAACATTAGCAACCAAGCAAGCCAAGATTAGCTTAACGAGATGTTTATAAAGTGCTAAGTCTAAAAGCAGCAATCAACACAAACATACCGCACTAGGTGACGTTCTAGTGCTGTAGTGATGTAATAGTACCGGGACACTTTATCTTCACCTGGAAGAGCGAATCATTCACTGAACCATGTTTCTGTAAGTGCCATGATTTCCTGATAGTATCAGTGGTCAGTGTCAGCAACAATAGAGGAGAATTTCCTACTGAAGACACAAACAGTTCCAGCTCAAATAAAGAAACATTAATCACTGCTGCCCCTAAAGGTGGGTTTTTACAAATGTCACTCAGCGCCGCCCTCTAAAGGCGTCATTAACAAACATCAACTAAACAAACGCCGCTCACCGCCGCCCTTTAAAGGCGTCATTAACAAACATCAAATAAACAAACGTCGCTCACCACCGCCCTCTAAAGGCGTCATTAACAAACATCGAATAAACAAACGTTGCTCACCGCTGCCCTCTAAAGGCGTCATTAACAAACATCGAATAAACAAACGTTGCTCACCGCCGCCCTCTAAAGGCGTCGTTAACAAACATCGAATAAACAAACGTCGCTCAGCACCGCCCTCTAAAGGCGTCGTTAACAAACATCGGATAAACAAACGTCGCTCACCGCCGCCCTCTAAAGGCGTTGTCAACAAACATCGAATAAACAAAGGTCGCTCACCGCCGCCCTCTAAAGGCGTCGTCAACAAACATCGAATAAACAAAGGTCGCTCAGCGCCGCCCTCTAAAGGCGTCATTAACAAACATCGAATAAACAAACGTCGCTCACTGCCGCCCTCTAAAGGAGTCATTAACAAACATCGAATAAACAAACGTCGTTTAGCGCCGCCCTCTAAAGGCGTCATTAACAAACATCGAATAAACAAAGGTCGCTCAGCGCCGCCCTCTAAAGGCGTCATTAACAAACATCGAATAAACAAACGTCGCTCACTGCCGCCCTCTAAAGGAGTCATTAACAAACATCGAATAAACAAACGTCGTTTAGCGCCGCCCTCTAAAGGCGTCATTAACAAACATCGAATAAACAAACGTCGCTCACTGCCGCCCTCTAAAGGAGTCATTAACAAACATCGAATAAACAAACGTCACTCAGCGCCGCCCTCTAAAGGCGTCGTTAACAAACATCGAATAAACAAAGGTCGCTCAGCGCCGCCCTCTAAAGGCGTCGTTAACAAACATCGAATAAACAAAGGTCGCTCAGCGCTGCCCTCTAAAGGCGTCGTTAACAAACATCGAATAAACAAACGTCGCTCACTGCCGCCCTCTAAAGGAGTCATTAACAAACATCGAATAAACAAACGTCGCTCACTGCCGCCCTCTAAAGGCGTCATTAACAAACATCGAATAAATAAACGCTGCTCACCGCCGCCCTCTAAAGGAGTCATTAACAAACATCGAATAAACAAAGGTCACTCAGCGCCGCCCTCTAAAGGCGTTGTTAACAAACATCGAATAAACAAAGGTCGCTCAGCGCCGCCCTCTAAAGGCGTTGTTAACAAACATCGAATAAACAAAGGTCGCTCAGCGCCGCCCTCTAAAGGTGTTATTAACAAACATCAAATAATCAAATGTCACTCACCGCCGCCCTCTAAAGGCATCATTAACAGACATCAACTAAACAAACGTTACTCACCGCCGCCCTCTGAAGGTCTTGTTTCACCTATTGGAAGTCACAACTTTTGTCATTTCCTATCATGAATGCATTTTTTAGCTTTCTTTCATTATGTGTATTTTAGCCTGATGTTAAGGGATGAAATTGCCTGAAACACTGGGGACTTTTTAAATCTTTCCAATCTAATTTTTTGATGGTGTGTGAAGTTGGGAAGCTACCCTCGTACCAGCTTGCCTCATTAAGCCCCTCTATGCTGAGCTGGCTCCTGCTCTACAGTGAGTCTTAGTGCTGGCAGGTGTCAGGAATCTTGGTCAGAGGACCAAACTGACAGGCGGGACTCAGTCTTGGCTCACTTGTGAGCTTCCAGACTGGCTACAAAAATGTACAGTCTGGTCCAGCAGCACCTCTGTCCTGCATAATTCAGTGCTTCCCCGCTCTTCAGCTCAGGAAGGGTTTATTAGTGAGCTGACTAATTGGCTCAGGTCTGTAAAAGCAGAGAAAAAAACGAATGTGTAGGACGGGCGTAGGCCGATATATCATCTGTACCTGTACATCGTAATATTGATCTGCCATGATGTTACTTTTGGTAATGCTTTTTTAATGTTTAGTCCTTCATATTTATTTTCTGTAACATGATGACAAGTTAAAGCACAGCTTAACTAAATTACACTGAAAAGCTAAACAGGTTCTAGATATTAACTGAGTAAGTGTGGGGTACCATGTCCAAAGTGCTGTGTAATTATTTTGGGTAAAGTCAGTATAACTAATCTACACTGACACTAACAGGTTCTAGCTATTAAACTGGTATAGGATGTGATAAAATTTCTCACAGGTGGTCAGTGGGTGGTCAGTACAAACATACACATTAAAATTTCATGTTTAAGCAGGAAAATAAACTACAAATACATTTTACCCAAAACAATTACACAGTTTGTACCTCATACTCACTCAGTTAATATCTACAACCTGAGCATGTTTAAGGTAGTAGTAACTTCACTCTCCTGCAGATGGCTCTGCACAAGGAAGATCAGGCTATAAATACCTGCAGCGTGTGTGAGGGGATTCATAGATTGAGAAGAGGTGGTACAGTGCAGTGAATGTCTCATTCAATGTGTGGAAAATGGGTCACAAAGCAGATGTTAATGATCGGCAATTCAGTGTAATTTATTTAGACTGCTGTGGAAATCACCTTAATGTTAACCAAAATAAGTATCTAGTATTTTGCAGTTTCT